TTTCATTGATATTCATAAAATATTCATAAATATATGCACATAAAATAATGAATAAACTCTTTTATTAAATAAATAATAAATATCCTATTACATCTCATGCTTCTAGGACACTATTCCCAACATGTATCACGTGTGTTGAAAATGCTGCTGTACTTTATGTGTAAAATAGAGTAGTATTTTATGTATTTTGATGACTAATGTAATAGAATGCTGTCAGAATGTTACAGCCTTTTACGAATGGTAGGAAACAGAATGCTAGTTAAATGCTATGGCATTTTACGAAAGGATGAAAGCAGAATGCTAGCTAAATGCTACAGCATTTTAACGTACATGGTAAGAATGGAAAGAAAAAAAAAATGGCCTGAGTTTTTAAGAGATTATAACTAGTAAGTGTTAGAGGTTAAGTAATGTTAAGTATGAGTATATGATGACGATCAAAAGTTAGGATCGTCACACTGTAATACGGAGATTTTCAGATATATTTCCTTTTAGAAAAAGGATGTGAGGTTCCGGTTGTTATGTTGGAACTGAATGTCTATATTTATTTCATTGCTTATTCATTTATTTGTTTACTCATTTATTTATTTGTTTATAAAGTTATTTCAAAATATATCATACTGGGCATTTCGCTCACGTTTTATTGTTTTATAAATATTAACCCCTCCCAGGCGACTCTAGGAGCAGTGCGGAGTAGCAGAGTTAGTTGCTACCAGCTGATTTGGTGAGGATTGTGATCATCCTCCCTGTGTACGAATCTAAGGATTCTAACCTCTGTAAACTCTAAATCTCTGGATTTCTAGATTATGGTTGATGTCTGTAATGTTATTTACATGTTCATGTATATACAATACTGCATATCCTGTGGGTGAAACCCTGAACGATGTTAGAGGCTTAGTTATAAACCTCTTGTAATTAGTAATTTATTTTCAGTAAAATGTGGGGCTCGTTTAGGAATTTTCTTAATATTTTATTCTTAATTGTGTTTAACTCCTAATCGAGCTTCCACGTCACTAACCCCGGCTGCGGGGCGTGACATAAATTTAAGTCAATTAGAGTCAGTTTATTAATCAGTGATTGATTACTAAATTAATCGGTGATTGACTATTAAATTAATAATAGAAGAACAATCATTTTACAAATTTTACAAAATTTCAATTATTTTTTAAAAAAATTCTTAAAAAAGGGCCATTCGCCTCTAAAACTCAAAAATATGATACCTGATTACTTCTCGATATTAGATGATATTATACAAATAACAAATGTACAAAAAAATATAATTTTTTTTGTGTCTTCATGTGCTTTTGGGAATTTTAAGCTCAATAAAATGTTTCCTGTCAATTATTCCCCCACCCACCAACCCTCTTTTTTAATTCTTTTACCTGTTCATTGGATTTGAATCCAGAACTCAGATATATTGAAAATAACTTTTTTACACTTGGGGGAGGGATTTTGATAATAAGTGAAACGACGACGTCCCGAAAAACCTCAAATAAAGGCTAGAAACAGAACGAAATCAAACAAAGGCAAAAAGATTGGATCCAGAATGAGAAATGATATTGAATGAGGCCGACGCTGAGATCGGACCAAAATGAATGAACGGCTTAGCCTTAAATTAAATAGTTAAGAATAAACAGTTAAGATTATAAGAATGTAACCGTTAAGCATCATCCTAATGAGAAATGATATTGTTGTTTGAGCATTTTCATACCAAAAAAAAAAAAAGAGAACTCATTAAACACCAATTTAGTAAACAAAAATGGAGTGATTTTAGCTAAATATTGTGTAATAGCTATATATCTCATATTACAAGTGAGAACTTATCAAATTAGGATCGGACCAGGCCATCTCTTACCCATAGTGACGGGCCTTGAGCCGGCCCGTTTAACTCAGCCTAAACTTACTGCTCTAATAGAATTAAATTTCACATGAGTAGGTAAGTCATTACGGTGGAATATAAATTTAGAGAGTCCTTCCAAACTTATGAAATTACACTACTTTTTCTCACTATAAAATCATGTGTGTATATTAACTATTCATTATGGGGTCAGAGATTTTCTTTGAAATTTGATGTTGTTGCTAGTGTTTCTTATAATTATTAATTAATTGACCTATGAGGGTAATGGTGGGGATGTGAGCAATCTTGTTCCAATACTCCCCTTTCTCCCTCTCGCACTTTTTCTCCAGCAAAGGACAGACAGACAACTCAAAGTTTTGAAGAGAGGACGGAAGCCCTTTTTCTGTAATTGTCTGCAAGTTATAACACCATCCGATAGAAAGTGAAGTTAAAGAGGTGAGTTGTTGAAGCCCATTGCTGTCCAGTGTTTTAAGCCATTCAAGATCCCGGATTTGAAGCTCTGTGATAGTGCTAGGCACCAGCCCTTCCTCTGGAAATGACTCCAAATTATTTTCAAATGTACATTTAAAAATTCCAAATGTTGTAAGATTGGGAAGTCCTTGCAAGTTCCATCTCATGCCGGAGATGCTAACCTTTTCGCAATTCCAAATCCAAATGTCAGTCAGATTGGGGCAGTCATATGAGTTGAGCAGAGGAATCTCTAAATTCTGGCAATTCCAGAACTCAAGCCATTTCAAGCCAGCAGGAAGGGACCTACAAGTTGTTGACTCAAGAGACTTGCAGATTTCAAGATGTTCAAGACACACAAATGATTCTACAACATCATATCCAGTAATCTTCTCACAGTTTACAAGGTCTACATTGTTGACGATTGGCATCATTGGGAGGGAAGAAGCAAGTTCTGGACATGCCCAGATGGAAAACTCTGTCAAATATGGAAGGAGGTGAGGCAAGTCTCCAGTAAGCTTCTTGCAACGACATATAGAAAGCGATTTAAGCTTTGGGAAAGCTTCATCTGGCATTAACCATTCCTCCCAGTTTGACATATCATTGATCCTCAGGCTTTCCAACGATGCAAAAGGCTTTGCACTTGATGAGCTACTCCCACAAAACTCAGGACCCACCCTTACTATTGCATCAAATCCTGAAATATAAAGTTCTTTGAGGGACGGCAATTGACCAAGTGGGGGCAAATTCAGGCAATATTTGCAGTTATAAAGTCTAACACAGACTATATTGTAGAATGACTCATCGCCTA